AGACGACGTTCAGCATCACCAAATGGGTCGTGCGGGCCGAAGTTCTCTTCGAGTTCTCGGACGAAGAGTTCATAGTCGTCCATCCAACGTGGACGGTGACGCGGGTTACCATGAAGAAGTTCAGGTTCAAACCAACTCAGAGCGATCCCCTTGAGGAAGGACGTAGCGTAGATGACTTTCGTACGCTCGTTGACAAATGCTTGGGGGCGGTTCTGGAAGTTGAGTTCGCACTGAACAAGGAAAGTGCGGAGTTTCTGAGGGTCAGTACCGTCAAACTGGTCAGGCTCACAAAGCTTCGTCCTACGGCTGGGGTCTGGAGGTTGACGAGCGGCAGTGGTTGAGCGGGCCAGGGCGGCAATAGCGTCCGTCAACTGGGCCAACACACGGCTACCCGGGTCATCTGGCAGCTGATCCTCAGGCGGATCATCACCACCGTCATCACCACCACCACCATCACCGTCACCACCACTGTTACCACGGTTGGGTGGGGCGTCTGGCGGGTCTAGAGGATTAGCGGGATCAGGACGTGGAGTAGGGTTACGAGAAGCTTCGGGGTCATAGTCATCAGCTTGGCTGTCCGGATCTACATCTCTCTCAACAGCAGCCGCCTCGTCATGGTCTTGGAATATGGAACGATGGAATCGACGGGAGGGTGCAGGAGTGTCAGGGCACGCCCGCCTGACCCGGCCCCACCTAACCCGGTGCCCCACCATCCACTCCTCTTGACCTCCCCCCTCTTCCCCTTTTCTCCCTTCCCTTCCTTCCTCTCCTTCTTTTCTATTCTCTCTCCTCTTTATTCCTTTCTTATCACACGGACGACTTCCTTTGTATCAATGTACCATTGACCCGGCTGCAGCGTAACGCGCCCGAACCCGGACACACCGGACGACCCCCCGCACACCGGACGCTCCTAGGACCTCTTACGGAGGTACCCAGACGGAGGTGGCTGTGTGCTCGGATGACGTGGCGCTTCCCACGTGCCCTTCAACCACATGTATATAAACACAGCCTAAGTGGGAACTGAGAAGCAACCTTCTTCTCACATTTCCCACTTTAGGCAAGTAGCTTACACTTCCCTTGATAATGACAATAACACATTTCCCACTTTAGTCTTAGTGGCCAGGGACCCTTGTCTGCTTCGGGCCCGCTGCTACGCGCGCTCGCATCATACCTACCGGACCCTCAGCCTCGGGCGATACACCCGGGCGCTCTCGACCCCGGGTCGGTCCCTGACAAGGAGTGGAGGAGGAAGTAGGGTCGTCACGGTCAGCCGTAAAGCTTTGGAATGGCGGACGTTCGGAAGGGTCTAGGTCGTGTCTGCGTAAAAGTTCTTCAAGCGTCCCGAGACCTGGAAGTCTAGAAGAACCAGGTTCGGTGCGCGTCTGTGAATGGGTTTGATAAGCTCTAGACATAGTTCAGTGAAACAATGATAGAGCAAGGAAAAAACGTAAGAGCGATTTGAGTTCGTATATACTGTCAGGAGCGTGTCAGAAGCGTATCCGGGTGACCCGCGAGGCGCGCGAGGTCGTCCGGGCTCGTAAGGTCGGAGGGGCGGGACTTTAGCTTCAGCGACTCGGGTGGAGCGCTGCGCTTCGTTCTTACGTTGGTGTCCCAATTTCAGACAGAAGCCTTACGATGAGGATAAGAGTTAGAGGGGGAATCCAAGTCGATATACGAACTGAGGTACATCCGGTGTAACCTACACGCGTTATAAACACAAGTAACTAAATGAGAGCGGCCCGGAAGGAGTGGCGGATCAAGCGCGATATTAATGAATGAAGAAAGGAACAAATAATCAATATCGGCAAACTTGGTCAACAAAAGGAAAGCAAGAAACAAAAGGAAGAACAATAGTCCGCAAGCGGACAAAAGAAAAAGAACCATCCGGCCGTCTAGCAAGCCGTCCGGCTGGCGAGCGGACAACAATGAAGCGGGCAACCTAGGTTGGAGGGTACGCGCGCGAGGGAGGAAGTGCGGATGAGGGTGATGGGTGGACGGATGGGTGGACGGATGATGATGATAGCGGGAGGGACGGACCAAGTGGCACTGGGGCGCATAGAGGGAGGTGACGGATATGTCGGGTCGTGACACAAACAGCAATGGCACAGCGCTCCGCTTGAGTTGCTGAGGCCAAGGTCCCTCCTTGCTAAGTCTCCGGTTCCCCTCCGGAATCGTCTGCCCTCGCCCAGTTCTAACAGTTGCACAATAATGTCAAGAAAGGACTTGTGGCACCCATTCACCCATTTGTTGTCAAATAGGTCAGGGTTGTGGATGAACAAGGCACCTTTGAACTGTGGATCAACCACTGCATTCCTGGATTAGTGGCAGCAGAATAATGATGTCAATATATGCACAAGTGCTGTTGTAATCACGAGTCACAGGGACCGGACACAGCCGGTGTTTATGTGGAGGACTATGTGGAGGGAATTACTAATTCTGTAGTCACACAGGAGTTACCTTAACAGGCCACTCTGCAATAGATTTACAATGTATATAAATGTGCACAGATGGGCATTGACAAAAATCATCAGATTTTATCTAGCTTACATCTGGTCTCGCAAGTGTTACCACTGAGGTAGCGGATTACCTTATATGGAATCCCTACATTATAAGAAGTGCCAATATAATAATACTCTGATTCAAGCATGGACTTATCAAAGAATTTCAATAATTTCATCTCAGCTGCCTCAAGGCCTTCAAGAAAGCCAGCCCTGTTGCATGCTTCATCTGAGGACTTGTTCTTAACTACAAATTTCACTAATTGTGTGTAGATGTGGAGTGATGTGCTGATTGTTGGGTATTTCTTGCTGGATATGAACTCAGAAGCCTTCCAAAACATCTGCAAATGAAGTCAGAATGGCCATATAGAGACAGGAAAACTTTACGTTGTAGGCGGGCACAGCCAGTACCATGCAAACAAGCCGATTATCGTGATTCTACCACCCACATCAAGCACCCCACTTCCAAAACACATCTACCATTGTTCCAGATACCCATTCCATGTTTACCATGTTTTTTTCGATTTTTTCAAGCCATTCCTGACCACGGACAACCATCAGTTTCCAAATTGGGCAACTGTCACCCACATACTGTATTCTGCCACTTCCTCCATATCTCCATCAATTCTCAACCGATCCGGACGAATTTGGTTCAGCGGTTGAGGCAATCGCCATGGTTCTTTATTTCCTTAACAACATCAATATTGCTTTGATATTGCTTTTTTTCTTAAGTGTTCCTTGTGGATCTGTTGCCGTCCTAAACCCGTCGGATCATTCGGATTTCCATGTATTTCTTTCATATTTATAGTTACCCTCTTTCCTGTATTTACAAAAAAGGACTCCCCCAACAGAGAGAGGTGCTCCCCAACAGACATGAAGTTCTAGCAAAGTTTACCAGTGCCCAGAGCAGCGAATACGAAGCCAAAGAGGCTCAAGATATAGTGCAGGGACAGAGTTCCCTTTAGTTTGATTATCAGTGAGATTTACAAGTTTATCATTTTTTTTATCACATCGCACCCGGACCATTTCTCCCCCCCCCCTTCCTCATCATCCAAACCTCCCCTGAGCATTCCCAACTCTGTGGCTCCCTCTCTTTCTCGTTAGGGTGGTAGATCCCTTGCCCCCTTACAACATACTTCAAGCCATTTGATGATGACATGCACTATCTCCCACTCATCCGATGTCAAGAAATACTTGACTTGTTTTGACACATGAATCTATAGGCCTGGCTCAGATGAGAATGGTGAGTCAGCGCTGAAGGACATGATGGATCCTGACCTACATCCTGATACTTGGACACTCGGACAAGCATGTAGTAAGTTGAATTCCATCAGGTTGGTACATCAAGAATTAGGTTGCACTTTGATGCTCCCTCCTTGGTATCAGTGCCCTCATTAGTAGGTGTGGCTGGCTTCAGCCTCAGACACTTTGAAGAAATTCATGTTGCTAGCGCTATAGACTTATGTCATGAATTCAACTAATGTAAACTGGGTGACTGGACGAATGACATAAAATGGACAAGCCTGGTGTCGAACCCAGGACCTCTAGCATGCATCCATACACTACTCGCCCATTATGCCAGGGAGGTTACTCCATCCCTGATGGTTATTCCAACACGCTTCACAACAGCAAAGAATTCCTCAGAACACTGAGGGGAGGACCAAACTGTGCGACAGAATTTGTGTATCTATGTGTACACAAAGCATCCCTGAGTCAAATTCAATGGCAACATGGCAATTCCCTTCACCTTTTCAACAAATGATGTTGGAGGATGTTCTGCTGCGATCTCCTCATCTGTCTTCTCACTTAGCCCACCTTCACTGATGAATCCCTCTGCCTCTTCTTCCATAAGACCAGCATCCACCTTGGAACTTTCAGATTCAGCATCGCCCTTTGCCACTGCCTTCAATGCAACAAGAAAATCCATCACTGCAAGATGAATTACATATGTGAGCCAGACACCAGATCATTGCTTGCTCAGAATCCAGTGGATTCTGTTGGAGGAACCATGTGCTATGGGAGGCCGGACGAGTTTCCGTACAGCCACATTCCCACACCCGAGCGAGGAACTCGCCCGGACAGCCACATTCCCGCGGTAGCGTGACTACCTGGTCACAACACCTTTTCTTCTTACTTATTTTGGTCACTTCAGACTTATCCACGAAGTCCACAAACTATATTCAATCTTTTGAATTAGTTTCCCTTTTCCTCAGTTCTCGCGCATATAGTGAGACTGAGGTTAGTTATCTTTCTTCCTTTCTTATATCTTATAACTCATTGTATATTACCTTATAGCTTTACTACTAGGTAATATAATAGTTCTCGCGCATATAGTGAGACTGAGCTTTACTGCTAGAGCAAGCGGTTATTCCGTTAGATTCTCCCCCACATGTCCATCCTCCTTAGAGAGTTCCTCATTTAGGATTGAGGCTAGTGTCGCCATAAGTGTCTTGTTATTGCTTGCATTATCGCATGTCATTGTAATAAACTAATATAATGAGCTCAGGGGCTTAACAGACCAGAACAATAGTACAACACCTTATTCCGGACCAGGACCATCTCCTTTAGCGTTGCATATACAGTGTGGCCCAGATTTTCCCCACTGTGAGCCCCCTTAATCTCAACAAAGTCTAGGAGAGTTTCATGCAACACCCATTCTTTGTCTACCCAGGTACAAGTAATGGCCAAGAATGCAATCCAATTACTAGAAGTCCAGGCATCACATGCAATCGGTATTTTTCTGGGGGTGTTCTGTTGTGGCTGTGTCAGGGGATGGACCCCGGGTCCCCATGACCCCTCTCTCTATAGCCCACAGCCCAATCTGTAACAGCCTAGTCTCAAGGCACAACTACTGTGGGTAAGAAAGTGAATAAGATAAAGGCAAGTAATGTACACTTGCCTACTGTGGGTAAGAAAGTGAGAAGAAGGTTAACTTCTCACTTTCCCACAGTGGCCCAATATGGCGAAAACTTCCGGGGATACCCGGAAGTCACATGAAGAGTGGGAACCGGGCCCGGAGCATGTGGCGCGCGGAGCATGCGGGGCAGAGCGCACATGCAGGTGCAGGTCCGGGTCCGGGCTAGTCAGGGTGTGTGCCCTGACAGGCTGCTAAGTACTTTTCACTGTTTCCCTACTTGTTTTACTCACTGCTAGGATATTCTTTAGCTTAATATGACCCTCTGCTGCAACCCTAATTATCCTATTCCACAGCTGATCAGCACCTATTATGTTTTGTGTGCATGGTCGGAGGTATGTGTGAAGAAATTGCATGTTGCCTTCCCAGACTTACTCTGTGATATCCAAATAATATAAACCAGGTGACTGGACAGATGACATAAAATGGACAAGCCTGGTATCAAACCCAGGACCTCTAGCATGCTGTCAGGGTTCAGCACCCTGCCCTAGGGTGCCCCAGACTCCCCAACCAATCCCTTCCTTCCATTCCTTCATTGTTGCCTTTCTGTGTTGTGTATCCGCGCGCACGGGATAGCATGGGAACTTTCTGAGCGAGCAGCTCGCCCAGAATGTTCCCACGGGTCACAGCCACAGTTCTGGGCGAGCAACTTGCCCAGAACGTTCCCACACTTACTGGGCACTGCCACCTGGATGTTCCCTCCGGGTCACACTACACAACTCTAGGAGCTGTATAGTTGTGGGCATGTGACCCATTCCTTTATATAGCAACCATGCGGGGAGATGAGACCTTTACCCTTCTTCTCATCTCATGCCCCGCATAGGCAAGTGTATATATTATCTTTCCTTTTACTATACATCTCATGCCCCACATAGTGTGAGGACAGGTTAGATGGGGGTTGAGGTCAGGGAGCCTCCGAGTCCGAGGCTGGGCCCTGACACATGCATCCATACACTACTTGCCCATTATGCCAGGGAGGTTACTCCATCCCATATTCCAACAATGTGATGAAATCATGAAATTCCTTGCTCTCCACTTCAGTAAATGCATGATTGCTAACCATAATCCATTTGATTAGTTTTTAGTAGAACACCTCCCATGAAAGGTCTACAGGAGCAGGTAAGTATAGTGTCACTCTATTTTTTGAATTCAATCTTACCTTGCCAATGAAGAAATTTCACGTTGCCCCACGGGACTTACTCCATGATATCCAAATGAGGTAAACCAGGTGACTGGACAAATGACATAAAATGGACAAGCCTGGTATCGAACCCAGGACCTCTAGCGTGCATCCATACACTACTCGCCCGTTATGCCAGGGAGGTTACTCCATCCCATATTCCAACACTCGCCCTCAATTTGGGGTGTTAGCCTCCAAATTGATGTACCGTGGCTGTCCACCATGAAGAAATTTCACGTTGCCCCATGGGACTTACTCCATGAGATCCAACTGAATGATACAGTTAAGGTCACAAGACAAGGACATAAAATCATGGACAAGCCTGGCATCGAAACCAGGACCTCTCAGTGTGCTACCATTACACAACTTGCCCGTTTGACCATGCCGGTATAGGCTGTTAAACTCTATACCAATGGGAACAGATATCCATTCTCCAACACCTCTCTGACCAGAGCCCCTCATGCTTGCATGTCTGCGCTTTCCCATGGCCATCATCACCTCCTTTTGGGCCCAAGCCCCTTGAGTCTGTGTGTCCACCTGGTGCAGCGAAGAGTGCCTAGAAATCATGAGCATCCAATCAAATAGGAAAAATATTGAGTACCTTGTCCAGCTTTGGTACACGTGCGATTGCTGTCAGGTTCCACTCCATTCTCCTCAATGAGAGAGGTGGTTTTCCCCAGAAGAGCATGCACTATTCGAAGGTCAGCATGTTGAAAAGAGTGTGTGAAAAATTAACTTACGTTTTGGTTGCGGTATTGAGATGAGTGGTTAGCAGGATTACAGATCAAAAGAAGCTAGACGGTTGATGTAGATGTATGATAAAGTTATCTCTGGTACTGTCGTATGCAAGTGTCCATTCAAGGCCTACCCAGAACATGTTTCAGACTGAGTTCGGTGCATCACAACCATTCCAAAGCCTGTTCCAGGCACAGGACTGCCCAGCGGGACACTTGGACGCGTTCTGAGTAGGCAGCGCTACATTGTTGGGGATGCTGAGAGGGAGAAAAAGGTTAAGTCCGAACCAGGTGGACTCAGACCAAACAAAAACAAATAATGATCGCGACCATGCAGCACTCATTCATTCTGACCACCTGAGTCTACGGCCATCGGATTTCTTTCGGTCAAGGTCACTAGGATGCTCGGAAAGTCAAGCAGCCATACACAAACGTCTGGTGTGCACTAACTTAACAGCCGCATGACCTCGCATCTTTGAGTGTTTGCAGCTACCACTTCTGGGAGAACCATAGAAGGTCAAGGACATTTGTACGCCCATTTTAGCCTCAATAGCTAGATTTGGGACTCAGAGCTGACTTCGCTTGATTGGGAATGGTCTGCTCCAGCCAGCATTTGGGTTATCTGGGAGCCGATGCACCTTCTGACCGCTTCTGTGCAACTCCATAGCCCATCAAATCCCTCTGAACTTTGTATGCACATTTTATGGCTCTCTGGGACCATTTAAGGGATCTCAGTTACATGGACTTGGCTTGAACTCGGTATGGATGCCATTTCTCCACATGCTCAACCCCTGCGCTCTGGGCCATGTTTCTTTAGGAGATCACCTGCTTTCACTGCATCTGAGCCATTGTTTGGGATGGGCTCTTCAGCATTTAGGACTAGCTTAACTTGCTCTGGATAACAAATTTATTGATTAATTATTGCCACCCACACCTTAGTTTGGACTTGTATTGTTTCCTATAATTTCATCGCACATTTCATTGGGGCCTTGGAAACGTGCATATGTAGATACTGAATTGAAATCATATTTGGCACCCGAAAATTTGCTGCAACTTTGTCTGAGTGCACATGCGATAAAAATCCTGCTCTATTTGGCCTCCAGAAAGCTGTGGGGGCAGTCCGTGAAATTACGTGATTAAACCGTGCTCCTCTCAGCCCCCACCAAGCCGGAGGTGATGGTTTGTGAAATGACATGATAGTTGACAAAATCCTGCTTCCAATAATCCTGCAGTGGTGTAGGATTTTTCATGAAATCCCATCATATTACATGACCTTATCATGGAATCACTTTCCTCAGTGTGGTGGGTTGAAGCATGAAGTAGAAGATTGTCTGGGGAAGCTCAACAGGCATAAACATGTGCCCTAAATGCCTCGGCTCCCTGCAAGAATCCATGCTTTAAACCTTAGTGATCATCTCATAGTGTTGTAATCACGTGTTGTAAACGCGGCATTCCAAATATGGTAACCCGCTTCAGCGGTTCACTCGCAACCCAGATGTAATATAGAAAGAAATATATAACTAAAATACACACGGCGCTCCAGTGCCCATATTTATACTTCTCAACAATATTCCAGGCTCTTCTATGCCCAGCGCTTACGCAGGCGCCTAGTAACCCGTAGAATATTCCCGGATATTCCGGTTCAGTTTCATCATGTGACTCGTATTCCAACATCACGAGTCACGGGGACCGGACACAGCCGGTGTTTATGTGGAGGACTATGTGGAGGGAATTACTAATTCCGTAGTCGCACAGGAGTTACCTTAACAGGCCGCTCCGCAATAGATTTACATTGTATATAAATACGCACAGACGGGCATTGACAAAAATCATCAGATTTTACCTTAGCTTACATCTGGTCTCACGAGTGTTACCGCTGAGGTAGCGGATTGCCTTATACGGAATCCCTACGTTACAAGACATAGTGCTTCCTTGAGCTCGTTGTATGATCTTTGATGGATCAAATTACGACTGTAGTGTTCTGTTCCTCTTTTTTTTGGTTTCTTTGTACTCAGTCAAACATCTTCTCTCGTGAATTATGGACATGTATTTGGGGCGCTGTAGGGTCTCGAATTGAATGGAAGAAAAAACTCTACGAGCAAAAAGAGTGGTGGGTTCTGCCGCGTCAGGCGGCGATCACCACCGAAGATGCATGGAGCAGGATGTTGGTGCGAGAAAAGCGGTGAGATGAACACTGCTAACATGTGGCAGTTTCATTGCACCTATATTGGCCGGTGGAAGTGACAATGTCGGAGGAAGGGGGGGATGGGGTGGGCTGTGTCAAAGCTAAAAGGCGAGCATTGAACGCTGCCGATATTGGGCAATTTCACTACACATAAATGACGTCTGAACAAGTAGACATCAGAACATCAGAACGTTAGCCATGTCCGCTCCATTCAAGCAGGTAAGGCTCCGGATTTGCGCATCGGGGGGCAAAGCACTTCGAGCACGGTGCGTTGGACCACTCACGAAAACTGCCAAACTGCACCGCATCCATCAATGCCAGGGCCCGAACCGACGAGCCACGCTCGAAGCCGATGTAGCAGTGTTGTCGAGCACGAGGGTCCAAGACCCTGAACGGGCTGTCAATGGCTATGGGAATCGCACGTACAGATTCCACTGTTGCTCGGAAACCGCGAATGATCATTAGTTTCGCGACGAAACCTTTGCATTCGGTCTCCTCTCTCGCGTTCGCGGCACTGGTGTCGAGCCTGCGCTGCGTTGATAATCTTGCTTTGATGGTGGTTCGACGTCTCCACCAGTGCTGGGTAACCAACAAGCCTACGGTCGAAGGGAAACAGAAAAATTTGTTTTACGAAAATTCACAGCAACACGAGCGAGGCCTGTAGCGTGCAAACGGCTGGGTCGCAGAGACGTCACGGTTGGCAGCGTAACATGGAATGTAAACACTTTCCGGTGCTCACGGATGCTCACTGAGTGAATGAAGCCATGCAGCTCAGGGAACAGGTTGCCATCGTCGTTGGGCAAACTCGTGTCCGGGCACACCGAAAAAAATATTCATGGTCGGAAATCGTACTAGCCAGGGGGCATTGTGGTTGGGCTGGGAGAATGGATCTATTTCTGCAGGTGCTGGTGTTGCTATTCTTCCTGGCGTGAGAGATTAATTCGCATCTCGGTGCAGCCGAGTGAGACATTTCTTGTGATGTCAGCATTCATCGCCAGGCCTCCAGCCTCTGTGACTGCTTAATATTTGGAGCCATTCCTACTGTCAATACAATTATTACTAATTATTTTGGTGAAGTTGGCGAACGGCTTCACAGCGGCTGTTGCCGGTTTTCCTGCCCATGGCCACTTCCATCACTCTTACCTGCTTGGCGGTTGACCGTGGAAGAAACCCCCTCGGTGCCGTGTTTCTTCTGAATGTGTCGCCTGGCGAATCTGTTGACTTCCTTTGCGACGCTATCAAGTCTAAATTAGCCCGCCAACTGGATCATCTGGATGCAAACCAGCTGGTTTTGTGGAAGCTCTCATCGCCGATACCAAGGGGGGTTACAGGAGCCGAAAAACTAGCTTTTCGTCAAAGGATAAAAGCAATTGAGTTCCCTGATCCTGAATGCGACGAGGCACTGGAGGGAAACGGCCCTGTGCAGGTTCTCGATCCTGAAGATAGGATATCCAGATACTGGCAGGAAGACCCCGAGGAAAGGCATCTCCATCTCATCGTCCAAGTGCCTCATGACGGAAAGAGGAAGCGTGAGGATTCGGGTAGGTCTTTGCGACTTTGTATTTTATGACCAAACTCCTCACTCGTCTGCAGTCGATATTTCAGCAAAGCTGTACCTTAAATGGAACGTTCCCCTCCAAAAATTTCTGAACGTTACCGATTTGGGCGTCTATCTGAATGCACCTCTTGAGCCCGAAGAAAAAATCCCGATTTCCAATCCGCAATGGCGGAGCCTCCTGCACACAGATCCAAGTAGTCCTAAGCTTCTCTGTTTTCCAGCAGACCTGGAGATGCTCTTCATCGAGCATGAGGATGAGACGGCTAGCTTTGTCTGGCGCCTGCTAGATGTGGCAATTCACGGCCATCCACCGGACTCAAATGGAACTAAAAACTCCTTCATTTCATTCTGGGACGAAAACATTCTGAACATCCTCAAGGCGGGTCTTGGCGACCTCAAGTGGATACGCAACAGCAACCGCGGCACGAATACTGGATCTTTCCGCCCTGATTTGGGTCTCCTCTTGGAGTCGGCCTGCTTATTCCGGGGGGAGGAGCAATGTCCATCGTTTTCCGGAAAACATCCTCGTCAGGAGCTCGCTGACAAGACTCGCTGGGCCTATGGCCGTGCTCCATATGTGCTCGGTATGTGATTCTTCTCCAACACCACCTGTTGTTGACCCATGTATTTAGGCTACTATGCCGTTGGTGCTAATATCACGCTTGTAGCTATCCAGCCAGTCATAAATGCACAGGGTGTTCAAAAAATTGTTGTACAAGACATTCTAAAGGCAGATCTGTCAACAAGGCGGGGACGTATCAGAAATGCGACAACGATGATCAGACTTGTCAAGGTTCTCCGGGCATTAGAACATATCGTGGACAGAGATGTGGATACTGATATGTTTATATTGGAACGGTGAGTTTCATTTGTGTATCCTGATTGCATTGAACCTAACCGTGAAGTTAGTGAAAATGGGAAATGTGTTGAATTTTTCAGGGACAAGATACGGAAGACTTATCCCATAGAAGATAAACTCAAGATTTCCTTTCTTGAATCTATCTATGGAAAACTCAAAGCAAAATGTGTGCCAAATGTTGACACCCTTACGAAATTTGGAATGTCCCATCCAGAATATGGTTGCTTTGTGGAACTTGCACCTCGAGGTTACTGCCATGGTCCAGAGTCTGCTGAAGATGTTAAAAATGCAGTCATCTGTCTTCTTGAGGCTCTCCAAGTAAGTATTTATATAGGATTATTAATTTGAGTTCATGTAGTCTGCAGGTATCACACACAGAACCACCGGTGTTTCATCGAGATATTCGCTGGCCAAATGTCATGCAAAGCCTCACCAATTCCAAGCAGTGGTTCCTCATTGATTGGGAAGATGCTGCAATCCCTCCAACGAAAGCAGCCTTCAATTTGGATTCTGAAACACATGCACCACAAGTATTTAAGGA